TCACTATTTTCATCGTTATAGAGGAATTATCGTTATATAGGGAATCTATCGTTATAAAGAGAGACTTACTGTATTTAAGATATTTTGAATATGTTACTTTATCAATGAATGTTTACTTACCCAAAATCATTTTTTTCCGATAACGACTTGAAGTCTTCGTGCAGAATCACATAGATTTCTCTCTATGCTGCAAAATTGAGCTGCTTCTTTTCAAATAAATTCCATATTTTATACGTAGCAAAGAAAGAAATTTATTGAAACAACGGATAGTCTTCCGACGCGGTCAACATACTAGCATAAGCTAAAGTGGTTCAGATCACCGGTCCAACAAACGTCTTGCCGAGGGAGACCGGATATGTAACAAGTTAATCAACGGATTGGTTGCAGGTGCGTGAACAAACATTCATACGAACCTGGAAGAAAATGAGCACCTGCTAACGGAATGGTTTGAAAATCGGACCGTTGACAGTTAATCGTTAACAAGAGCTCTTACGGTGCGGAAGGGGGGTTCGAACAACACGTTACGTAACATTGTTTTTTTGATTAAATATAAATGCTATGGAATTAAAATCTTCCAAGCTGGTAATCATTTTCGTCTATGTTTTACGGGTTATAAGTCTTATGGGTAATAATAAGTATTGTAGAATATTGTTATTTTGTTTATTTATTAAAATCCTTTATAAAAGGTATATATTAAAAAACCCAATCGGGCTATATCACAACCACAAAACGTTTTTTGGAATCCATATTTCATCATCAGTGTCCTAAAAAGTATATAACCACTTTAATTAAACGAACGTGAAATTTAAATTTTGACCAAGGTTAATACAAAATGTGCTTAATACTTACTGGGTGTACATGTTTTGAGCCATTAAGTATTTGAATAAAAACCCATTAAAAGTTATTGATTTAAATTTATTTTACATTATGGTATGTTATATGTTAAGATATAAAACATAAAGATTGGATGACTGAAGAAATACTACTATTTATGAATGAAAGAAAATCATTCAAAACAAAAAATCCAATTAAATATAATGAAACTGATCGATTAATAAAAAAGAGAATAAAAGAAGCTAAGGAGGGAATGTTACATGAGCAGTGCCAAGAACTAGAAGAAATTGAGAAAAAATATGACTTTTTAACATGCATAAAAGAATTAGAGAATTAACAGGAATGAGAAAAACACTTCAAACTAGGCAACTAAGAGGTGAAAGGGGTGCACTTATAACAGATATAAACCAAAAAATGCAGAGATGGACGCAATATATAGCACAACTATTTGAAGACAAAGAGAGAACAGAAGCACCAAAAGAATTTAAGGATGATACTGGGCCTGACATTATACGAGAAGAAATTGAATATGCAATGAAACAAGCTAAAGGTGGTAAATCTCCCGGGTCTGATGAAGTTCCTATCGAATTACTTAAAATTGTGAATACTGAATCTATTGATCTTCTTTTGGATCTATTCAATACCATATATAGAACAGGTATAATACCTAAAGAATGGCTCCAATCAACATTCATACTGCTTCCCAAAAAAGCCAATGCAAAGGAGTGCAATGAACATCGCACCATAACCTTAATGAGTCATGTCTTGAAATTGTTTTTAAAAGTAATTCACAATAGAATACATAAGAAATTAGATGAAGGCATAAGTAATACACAAATGGGATTTAGGAAAGGACTGGGAACACGAGATGCACTGTTTGCAGTAAGTGTTCTTTCGCAGAGATGCTTAGATATTAATCAGGAAGTATATGCCTGTTTCATTGATTTTGAGAAGGCATTTGACAGAGTGCAGCATAATCGACTTAAAGAAATTTTATTAAATAAAAACATAGACAGTAGAGATATTAGAATCATTTGTAACCTCTATTGGAATCAAACAGCAAAAGTGAAAGTTGAAAACGAACTGACCAAGGATATCCAGATTCGCCGTGGGGTCCGCCAAGGGTGTATTTTATCACCCTTGTTATTCAATTTATACAGTGAAGCCATCTCAGAATTAGCGCTTGCCGAGATCAGTGAGGGCCTTATAATAAACGGTGAGCCACTTAATAACATAAGATATGCTGACGACACCGTCCTTTTGGCAGGAACACTAGAAGAACTGCAACACCTTGCTGAACAACTAAATATATATTGCAACGATTATGGACTAAAAATCAATTTGAAGAAAACCAATAGAATGAGAAAACTTTGTTGTAATCGCGATATCAATATATCGCTCCGGATAAGAATGCTTCGATGTTATATTTTCTCTACCCTTTTGTTTGGAGTTGAAGCTTGGACACTTAAAAAATCCAACATTAAAAACCTAGAATCATTCGAAATGTGGTGTTACCGACGCATTTTGAAAATATCATAAATGGATCGCAAATCAAACGAACAAGTTCTCGAACAACTAGGAAAACAATGCGAAGTTTTAAATTCCATAAAAATCAGGAAATTGGAATACTTGGGGCACATCATGAGAGGTGAAAAGTACGAACTACTAAGGAATATAATGCAGGGTAAAATCAAAGGTAGAAGAAGCGTAGGAAGACGTAAAATCTTGTGGCTACGCAATTTCCGTGAATGGTTTGGATGCAGTTCAATTGAACTATTCAGGCAAGTAACCAATAGAATTATAATTGCCAGAATGATTTCCAATCTCCGATAGGAGTGGAACTTGAAGAAGAAGAATATGTTAAGATGTTAAAGTTACTAGTGGATTTCATAATATGGCAACGTAGGACTCTACATGAGGTTGTTGATCCTGAGACAAAGTGTCTACGAGGACCTGATGATAGCAACTGATTGAAATGACAATATTGACATGTTAGGACAGAAGTCTGAACAAAGTAGTCAGTGTAACTTAAGATTTGTCTAAATATGACAGAAGCCAGCAATATTTAAAAATTGAATAAGTTAAAATTTTATATGTATAATATTAATCACATTTTGTATTAACCTTGGTCAAAATTTAAATTTCACGTTCTTTTTAATTAAAATCATTATATAGATACTTTTTAGGACTCTGATGATGGAATATGGATTCCGAAAACGTTTTGTTGTTGTGATATAGTCCGATTGGGTTTTTTAATATATACCTTTTATTAAGGATTTTAATAAATTTTTTGTTATATTTGCTTCACTGACTGATTATTTCTTTTTAAGTTAATAAGAAAGTTTGTTACCTTTTAATTGGATAAAAAAAACACTGTCCCACATAAACTTCAAACGGTCTGGATTTGACTCATATGAGACAAAATGGAAACTGGATAAATCTGTGGGGAGGTGAAAAATCGAATTGGACTTCAGGTTATCCTGATAATAACAACATCTATTCTTCAACACTCAGCTGCTTAATTTTCACCCAAAACCATATGGGCCTCACTTAGCCCTCAGACACGCTTTTTTATCAAATCCCGTGACAAGGAATACGGCAACAAACCAGTGATTATCTCGCTTCACAAAGACTGCCACATAGCGATTAAGCTTAATCACCTTTTTGTAACCAAAATTCATGGAATGAGTTGCCGATTATGAAATGTTTGAAATAAATATTTGCCGATTTTTAAAACTCTCTGACGAGAACCATATTTTCCCGTTTAGAACCCAATCTGTTCTCTTTTTGACTCTTCACTAACGAATTTCCGATGACAAAAACGAATAACGAATTTTAAGAAAATCCGGATTCGAAACAATGAAACCAACTTCTTGATCGATATAATAAAATTATTATAAACAGACTAAAAATGTTTATATTATCAATCTCAGAGACACAAAAAGATTAAAAATCCTTTTCGGTGTTTTATTATATACGAGGTGAAATGAAAATGCTACAGGGCATCTTCAATGAGACCGCTAGAGAAATTTTATTTTTAATCTTTCTCAAGAATACAACTTTTTTTTAAACAAATGTTTTATTTCAGTTAGGTTTCCGATTCTAATTGTATTGCCCAATGTAGAAGTTAATATGTCATTTTATTTAAGAGCGTAGGCGCAAAATTTCGGGCCAATGCTTTTTAAATGCATTCATTTTTGTCTCGAATCCTGAGAAAACGAACAAATATTTTTGAAAAATTTAAATGAAGAATGAAAGATTACATTATTACCGAGGGCCGAAAGTCCATTAGAATAAACCAAAATTTTTTTTTGAGTGAGATATTTGAAATTAAAAATCACACCAAATTTTCCCCTTTTTTCACCCCTGTAACTTATTAAAATAAACATAGAAGTTTTCAGGGACTTTCGGCCGTCAGTAATAATGTATTCTTTCATTCTGCGTTTAAATTTTTTAAAAATATTTATTAGTTTTCTCAGGATTCGAAAAAAATGAATGCATTGGCCCGAAATTTTGCGCCTACGCTCTTAAGAGTTAATTATTAAAAGAAATTAGAATTGAAGAATGCATGAGTACATTTAATAAAAGATGTAAGAATAGTATAAAAATTGTAAGATTAGTAGAAAGTTTATTAGGGCTAGATAGAAATGCGATTAAAACAATATCAAATTCGACCGACTTTCCAGTTCTTTTCGCAACATAATTGTTACCTTTAGGTAAAAATGGTCATTTGGTTGTTACTTATCGTTTAGGTAAGTATGCGAGAAGGGTACAGAAAAATGTTACTGTGCGTTATATGGGGGAGGAGGGATGCAAAAATCTTCATAAACTGCGTTTTTAATACTTGAACGCCCCTTTATACGCATTGTAAAGGAGCACTAGTTTTTAAACCAGTAGTAAACGTCAATTATGGTGAAGTTTCGTTGGGTGGGTTTTAAAAGGAACCATTTTATCGGCAATCGTTAAGTAGATAATAGCAATGAAACAATAGTAGTAGCAAGTCGGTTTGAATTAACACGAATGAACACGTATTGAACACGTATTGAACACGTTTGAATTAACACTAACGAACACGTAGAAACTGACATCCCGCTTGATATGCCACATATGATCCTTGATGGTCAAGCAAATCACATATCTTAACAATTTAAAAAATACAAAATATTAAAATAATACTTTATTAACAATATAACAATATATATATATATATATATATATATATATTATATATATATAATATGTATATATGTTTAGGTAAAATATGTGTTCACTTTATTTAGTTTCTTTTAGAATTCTATGGAATAATCAGTTGTAGTAACCTCAGAATCTGTTGCGCTATCTTTTGATTGTTTATGTATAGAATATCGTTTCTGAATTTTTTTCACATCTCGTTGTCTTCCAGTGGACCAATATTCGTAAACTTGAGGGTAATACTTGACAGGTTTATCTGCTTCTTGACGATAATTATTTCGGATTAACTCCATCTCAAAAATAAAAGGATTATATAAATAAGATCATCAGGGTAGTGGTGCCGCTGTAATATAAAATCTACTATAGTATATTTTCAAAATTGTAGGCACGAAATTTCAAAAAAAAAAATGGTGATGATGATTCAACTTTATTCTTGGTGTCTACCAATGGCGTACAAAAAAATTTTTGTAGAGTTCGACGTAACGCTACTTGCAATGAAGAATTTTCCAAATTGTATGTTTTACTATTCTCTCCCTACCGCTAAGAACTTTCTAAACCAACTGAATAATTTAGACATCGGATCGTATGGACTAACAAAAAGACAAAATATGACACAGTACCGTAAAATGGGGTGAAATCGATGCAAAGGGGCGAAATTAATAATTTCGAATGATTCTGAATATTTTAATTTTACCTGAAATCTAAGAAGCTTAACAAACGGTTAACAACGTCGCTTTAGTTAGTAAACACTAGCGTGATCTGTGATTATTTAGTTGAAGTAAGTATATGTTTTTAAGTAAAAAAGCTTAACTTTTAATTATGGCTATATTTTTTATGTTTCTTTAGCATCCTAACTTTCCGGTACATGAGAAAAGCTACAAAAAAATGTGCGATTTTAACTAATTATCTTAATAGTAACATGTTATGTCAACACATGTAAACACGCTATTTTTCAGCGTATCATAATTTACGCAGGAAATTTAAAAAATCACAATGGGGATAATTTGATCAGGTCTGTGGGGCGAAATTGATCTCCACCGGGGTCAAATTTGATTTAACATTTTTTCTGAAGATATCTTAAATTAGTGCTTTCTTTTCAGAATAAATGGTTCGAAATTAAATAAGAAAACTTGGTGATCGTCCATATAAGGACTATGACGAAGTAAGGGTGGAAAATGCCCCCCAGAAAGTTCTTGAGGAAGGATAGTCCTTACGTCGCGCTGCCTAAGAATATAAAATTCCTTATGCAACTCTTAATAACCGTTAAATTGGCCACATGAAAGAAAAAATGGTGTATTTTCCGCGAACGAAGAAAAAACCATTATACTACAGCGTGCTGCAGTACTCTTGACTTGCGACATACAAAATATATAGCCAAAGGTGTTTTGGATGCCCAGGGTCGACAAGTGTTTTTTTTTTAAATAATTTACCTGGAACTGAGTGGGTATATTCATTACTGAGATGGCATAAAGGGGAAATTACCCAAAAAGTGGCGGCCAATATTAAGAGACCTAGAGCTAATATTTCAAGAGAAACTTTAGTTGCCCACTTCGAGAACCTGAGTAGAGAATTAAAAAATGTTCCACCTAATAATATATTCAATTACGACGAGACCAATGTACAAGATAACCCTGGAAACAGGAAAATGATATTTCAACGCGGCACCAAATATCTCGAACGGGTTTTTAATTTTACTAAAGCAACAACGACTATAATGATATGTGCTTCGGCTTCAGGATTGCTGTTACCACCATATATAATTTATAAAGCAGAAAAAATGTGGTTACAATGGACCGAATATGGTCCAAGGGGATCACCTTGCTGTACTGACAGATGCTTCTCTATAGCTGCTGCTCTATATAATCGCACCCATCATGGATCCATAGATTTACAGATATTTATAGATTGGTTTACTTTGACCTTTTTACCACATGCAAAACGTCTTGAAGGACATAAAATTATCATGGGAGATGACTTTTCCTCACATTTTACCAATGAGGTGTTATCTTTATGCGAACAAAACAATGTGGGTTTTATATGTTTGGACAAAAACACATCACATTTAACCCAACCACTTGATGTCGGTTTTTTCCGTCCCTTTCAGATGGATTGAAGGGAAACTCTTATTGATTGAAAAAACTGTCACCCCACATTAACCACAATAGATCAGAAAGAATTACCCAACTTGTTAAACACCTTCATCACATTGGCAAAAACATGACGAAAATAGCGCTATAAAACAAATTATTATTTCCTTCTTTGCAGCCATGGGAATTTACCCCTTTTCCCCAAGAAAGTTTTAGATAAATTACAAGCAGAAAATGAAGAAATGGAGGGCCAAATCGACAACCTTTTAGTACATTATCTTAAGGAGAAAAAATATTCAACTGCACCATCCAGGCGAAATACTAAGTGAACCAAACTAAATGTCGAGCCAGGAAAAAGTGTTGTTGCTTAGCAACCTGATAAAACTTAGAGCGACAGTGAAGAATAGACACCAAGTGATAACGAAACAGAAAGTGAAGCGTCTAACTTTAATGAGTCTGACAATAATAATCATCATTATCACCCAGCCCTTTGCGTCCACTGCTGGACATAGGCCTCCCTCATTTTTGTCCATTGTTCTCTATCTTGAGCACTTTTCATCCAATTTCTGAAAAGTGAAAAGAAAAGTGAGTGACAATAATAATGGGGTCGAATATTTTGCCTATAACAAGGATGATATCAAAGAAGAAGTTTTTCTGTTAGTAAATGTATTGGGAGGAAGAAGGAAGAAACAATACTATCGCTATGTTGCTAAAATTAAAAAAAACTAATGAAACAGACCTACAATTTGTAGGATATAAATCTACGGATGAAGTAAAGAAGTCCTTCAAACTGGTCGAACATGATAAATTTTCGGTTGAAGTGAGTGATATTATTGCCATTTTATCCTATCCTGAATTCCTTAATTCAACAGAAACAGCTTGTATGTTTAAAAAACGGGTTGATGTAATGGAGATGTAGAATCTCACTTTAAACTTATTATATTCAAAGATGTTTAAAATCATGTTTTTGGTGTTCTACCTTGCAGTACTAGCAGAACTTTGTCATTCTTTGGTTTAAGCATATTAAAGTTTACTTTTCATACCTGTTTCATACGATTACAATATTCAGAAAATATTAGTTTTTAATGAATATGGCTCTTTGGTTTAGTTTTTTTTAATATCATTGATAACTTTTGTTCGTGAAACCTAATTTAGGGCGTATTAGCATATTTTTGTTTTTGTGTGAATAAAATAAATCTGTACAAAAGCAAATTGTGGTTTATTCTGAAATCTGAAGAGCAGCTGTTTGCATTTTTTAGTCAACATCTTAATCAAAAAAATATTCTTTATGAAGAAATATTGAATATAGATCTTGTTGAATCATATTAGTAAAAAGTATGTAGTGATTTTACAATTTACTCACTTACAAATTTATCGAAATAAAGTTTATCGGATGTGTAGGATGTGAAATTATTGCACTATAGTTTATTTTTATGAACGAGAGAGTAATTAGCATAATTTTAACTGGTACGTCCGACCAGTTGAATAATTGTAAAAAATAAATGAATTATTTCAGTGTTATAAAGTGTTATGTGTATGTAAACAAAGGTGACCTCTTTTATCACACACTATATTAGAACTGACTGGCCTACATTAAAAAGGGTTTTAAAAAATTCACATTTTTTTTAATTTTTAAAAATTACAAAAGAGAAAAAGAGTTTTTAAAACCGTCTAAGGTATGTTAAATAGATGAATAAAAATATTAATATAAAACTTACAGCTACTTGTTACAAATCCAAATCAGATTCAGAAGATGAACTTTCAGAACCAAGATTTATAATAACTGGCTCGATCATTTTATCAGTAATATTGTCCAGCTTCCACATTTTTTCCTCTTCTTTAATAGTGTGATTTACTGCCTTTTCCCAGTTTTCAGGTTTTACATTATTTACGGCCTCCAAAAACAACTGTTTAACATCATGAATTTTAAAAGTGGTATTTTTTCTTGAAACTTCACTCTTTTTTTGTGCCCATACCAGTTCAATCGGGTTTAATTCACAATGATATGGTGGGGATCTAAAGTACTTAGATGTACTGTCATTCCACGATTTTTGGCAATTTCATCAATTTCGTATTTTTTAAATTTTTCTTTATGAAGGGCACACAACGAATAAAGTTCCTTTCTTATAGATCCGGGATGGTACGTAATATTTTTTGAACTCAGCCAATTCTGCAAGTCTTTTTTTAACCACTTGGTTGTGGGCAGTCCTTCTATAAGTCTGGAGTGATAACTTGCTTTATCCATTACTATTATACAGTTCTTAGAAAGAAGATCTATCATTTGTTCGAACCATTCTTGAAAGACATCAGCGTTCATGTCTTCATGGTAGTCACCGGTACGAGTTGATTCAAAAGTTAATAAACCACCTTCAACAAAACCGTCTGAACTGCCTATGTGTACTATTATCAGCCTGCGTCCCTTTTCTGATGGTGGGTTTAAACCAGTAGATAAGTTATTTACAAAAGCGTGCCTTTGACTTGTAACAGTTTCATCTTGCCAAAATTTATTTGGTGTATGACCCTCGTTGATCCATGTTTCATCAAGATAAAATATTTTTCTTTTTTGGTTTCTCATTTCCTTTATGGTTCTTAGAAAATGTCTTCTCCATATGACAATATCGCTTCTTTCTAATAAAATAGACTTTCTGGGATTCTTTTTCCAGCGGAAGCCTATTTCTTTTAAAAGTTTCCATAACGTACTTCGACTCATTTCTGGGTAATCCTTATCATCTCGAACTGAGACAAGAACTTTATCCAATGTTGGAAATTCTTGTCTAAAGAAGAATTCATGCACTTTCCGTCGAAGTCCTTCTTTAAAATGATATTCTATTTGAAATTTTGGTTTCCCTGGAGCATTACGTGGCATTTGAAAACTACCACATTTCTCTTCTTTAATAACTCTGTAAATCGTAGATTTCCCAACACCAAGTGTACTGCTAACTAACTCAACGGTCTCATCAACACTTTCACATAAACGTTTGTCTGTAAATGATTTAAAACAATTAAATATTAATGTTTTTTCATTAACTGTTAAAGGACCAATTTTTCGGCGTTTACACGGCACTTCCAAATTTTCCATAACACTAGTATACACAATAAACTGCACCTTGCAACTGAAGTACCTACTTTTAGTGAACTGTTAAGAATTTTGAATACGCCACTTGGACCTTCTACAAAATGGAAAAACCCACTATCACATTTTCTGT